TCGAAGTTTTGCCAATTGACTTTCAAATCCTCCACTACGGGTGTCCTATTAACGACCTCATATACTTCATCTTCACCGGAACGGACCAGGCGTTCAGAAAAGAGCATATGGAAAACTTGAAAGACCTATACTATGAGACTTTGAAAAATTTTGTTTCGAATTTCGGCGTGAGACTAACGGAGGTGATATCGAAAGGAGAATTCGATGAGCTATTCAAAACGAAGCTGGATTTTGGTTTAATGATTAACTGCTTTTACGTGCCGTTTATGTTCTCGGCCGAGAACGATGTGCCTGACGTCACTGAGCCCTTAGGTGATATAAGCTTCAAGACGGATGAGAGGTTCGGGATTCGATTCAGAGAAGTAGTCGACGATTTTATAGAATGGGGCTACTTGTAGCGATTGTATTAGTTTTCAAATATTAAAAAGAAATATCTATATATTAATACGTGAAGCAAAAACTTTGTATCCCTTTTTACGAAAATTGCGCGGACGGAGGAATATGAAATTTTCCACACTTATAGAGAATATAGAGAAGAAGTGCACAATGTTATTTTTTTTTTAATAATGCTTAAAAGATACATTAAATCAATAAAGAAAACATTACACACACTACATACCATGTATTTGACGCACACACGCATGCATACTATTTATGACAAACTTTTGTTCTTGACGTCTGTTGTCAAATTGAGATTAAATATTGTTTGTCTTTGTTAATATTTTTTATAGTGTATTCTTGGCGAAATTTGTGATTAAAGAAGTTTAGAATACAAACATAATAGTGTACAAACTTACAATTCCAATTAATTATAGTCGAATTTCGACTACTGCGGGACCTCTAGTATATATAGAATCACAAAGTTTAAAAATGTCCTTATTGAATTAAGGAATAATGTATTGTAAATGATATAAAGATCATATTATTTTATAAATGCGTAACACATGTAAATCATAAATAAAATTGAAGATAGAAGCGATCTATTCATTAATTTAATTTTTAAAGACACACGCCATAAAATATAAGAAGGCACGATGACTGGAAAAATATGTGAATTGTGTGAAAATTATTGCATTGAATATTTGAATTAGGTTAGTATATTTGCTTGCTCCGTAACAGCTGGTGTCAGGCTATATATATATATAAGACCCAATGGACTATACGTCTCTTTCATCTTCGTCACCTCTCGCTCTAAAGTAACTCTTTCAAATGTGTGGCCTAAAGGATAAGACACCCTGTCCATTCGTATCGAGGGATGCGGCAGTGCCAGTGTTCGAATTTCTCAAGTAGGTACCAATTTGTCTAGAGCAATAAAACAGCATTTTAATTGCGTTAATGTAGAAAATAAATTCCCTCAGGAATAAGTACTATTGATTCGGGATGAAAGGTGCCCAAATGTACGATTTTTTTTATAGGTAGTCGAGCAAACGGCGCACCCGGTGATAAGTGGTTACCGTCGCTCATGGACGCCAGCAATGCCAGGGTCACAGTCAAGTAGCTGCCTACCATTGAGTACCCTCCAAAGTACTACGATGAAGGAATAACATATTGTTATGAAAAACAAACCCGCAAACGAANTATTGATTCGGGATGAAAGGTGCCCAAATGTACGATTTTTTTTATAGGTAGTCGAGCAAACGGCGCACCCGGTGATAAGTGGTTACCGTCGCTCATGGACGCCAGCAATGCCAGGGTCACAGTCAAGTAGCTGCCTACCATTGAGTACCCTCCAAAGTACTACGATGAAGGAATAACATATTGTTATGAAAAACAAACCCGCAAACGAAGCTAAATATTTGCGTATTTATTGGTAGCAGGGTGTTTTGTGAGCCTGCACGGGTAGGTAATACCGTCCGCCCTAAGCACATCATTACGGATCCTCCCGATCCATTAACGGTGCTTTTAGGTACCACAAGCGCCGGTCACCGTCCTCGTCGAAGCAGTCGCTTGCGACAAAGGGCTCGACGAGTGAATTAACCCATAGACACACCCCACTGAGTTTCTCGCCGGATCTTTTCAGTGGGACGCGTTTCCGATCCTGTGGTAGATTCTGCGAAGCACTGCTCTTGCTAGGGCCAGTGTTAGCAACACTCCCGGCTTGAGCCCCGTGCGCTTACCTACACGTTAAGTTGGAGCTGAAATAGCCTCGCAAGGCTTAAAAAAAATGTGTGGTGTCGTGGGACACCGGATATGAACGAAGTTCCTTATTATTATAAAAATATTAATCTAAAGTTCTATTCGAGATAAAAAGAAAATAAAACTAGAGGTGTCGCAACAACCCACGGTCATTTCGTAACGGTAGAACTTATTGTGGTACACTTCATTCACGGTTGTTTGCATAAGTTAGTGTATTGCGCAAACGAACGCTCTAAGATCGTGGTCAATTAATGATAAAAAATATGTTGTTTTTTGTACGTTATTACAAAGTTAAGTCGTACACTGTGTGCAATACTAATAAAAATCTTACGTTACGGACGTTTTTTCCCGGTTAGGATACCCCTCCGCATCGTCCCATAAGGAACTTTGTTAAAAAAAAACACCGTCCTCCGTTTTAGCCGCGAAGCAGTGTTTTGACCTGAAGGTTGCGGCAGCCGCTGTACTCTAAAAAAAGTAATATAGAACAAATGTCCCAAAGCCGGTGGCGGCATGTACGTTGTTGATATCTATGAACTCCGGTAACCATTTAACACTGTGACGCGTAGCTATCACGCAACATAAGATACATATTTGTTAGATGTCTGAATCTCGCTAACAACATTTTCAATATGTAAAAAATCAGAGCAAATAACATTCGGACCGACCGGATATCTTCCCTTGGTCGTTTTCTCCTAAAACCCTCATCTAAGCAATAAAAAATATCTTCCAAAAGTTATACAAAAATATATAACTAATAATCTATCAACACAATTATAGCAGAAAGGGTATGAAGGAAGACCTTTGAATGCTCGTGGGCTGCCCTAAAATATACCATTAATATATAATCTTCATGAGTATCCTATAATAGTGGCTTTTCAGGGATCAGAGTTGATAAATAGGGTCGGCAGGGTCAGAATTAATATTGAGGAGTGATTTACTGATTTGAGCTGCAGCTTTTAAGAATGGTTCACTTATTATTCTGATGTTATTTCGTTTCGCTATGTTCAACATTGATTTTTATTGAGACAAACACCACCATTCAATTTGTTTTAACGAATATCAGAGGTACATCACAGCGTTCGTAAGACAGTCCTCTTTGAGGTTTGAGGTCAAAATAAATTTAAATTTCTAAAAATACGTATTCCTTAGATGGTGGAACTAGATCATGCTTTACAGGAGCCTATAGACCTCATTATTTGAGGCAAAGGTCTCAATTGTACTCTATAACAACTGCCCCACCCATCAAAACGGAACGCAAGTCTGCTTCGGGGTATAAAGATACAGATGGTGGTATACGTCTTGGTACACTGGTGGTGGTACTTACTTAGTGCCTAATAATTCAGACAGACATAAAACTAACTGGCTGTTAAATTTCCTATTATACATTATCAACCTTAATGCTATGTACTTAAAAGATCAAACATTTAACAAATATCCAATTAGATTGGGCCAAAAACCTTTTCGTTTCGCAATGAAAGGATTAGGTCTGCTCATATAGGAATTTTCACACAAAGAAAGCTATGAGTAATACGTTTTCCTTCCGTTTTCAACAATCGAAAATATTTTTCCTATTACCAGGCTTTGAAAACATGTTTGTGATGGATGTTACATATTGTTGTTCCATAAATTCTTGGGGAGCCGTTACCTATTAGATACAGGAGTGTCCGTGAAAATACCAAAAATCGATCTTAATCGAATAATGTGATGTGAATTTATTAATCAATAGAAAATAATATTGATATTAGAGCAATACATTATTTAATTTCGATAAAAAAGTGATTTGGAAGAGAATACCTTGAAAATATTTTTAAATTGCAACACAAACGGGCAAAATTAAATTAGAGGCAAAATTTTTGCCACAGTAAAAAGTTTTGAGTTTGAAATTTAGTAATACACTAAGAAGTTATTTGTAATTACATTGACCTATCTATTTTTACATAAATCAATCACGCATTCTGACTAGAATAATGGAATATACCTACATATTTTTTTAATGCCACTAATATTTCAGCCTTATGCCTTAAAGTCAGTAGCTGCATTTAATACTAGTGTCTCTTGGCCTCTCTCTCTCTCTCTCTTTCTCCCTCTCCAGTACCACTCAAGAACAGATCGATTAATGTGAAGTCATTTGTCTATTCCAAAGAAGCAGTTATCTTACGACCGAGCTAAACTCTGTTTATAAACAATAAATTTATAAATATATCTTTGAGATAAACTTCAAAGTTAGATGTGATTGGAATATTATGATACACAAAAACAGTGAATTTCAATTAGGTTTGTTTTCATAAATAAAGTGTTGGAGATGAAACGTGACGATATTAATTTTAGTATGATGATAACAAATGAATTTATGAAACAATAATATCTCTATGAGGATCTGTTTAATCTCCCGTCAAAATATTATCACGGGACTCGCTTAGTTACACATGAGATATGTGTTTGAGAGAGATGATTAAATAAACTTTGTTAATCGTTTTTCAAAATATTACATTATTATTTCCTAAGTGGTCGTTCTCTAGAACTAGCTATTTGAATTGAAGTTTATCTTCGGCCTACAATTTTAATTTAAAATAAGCTATAACAACAACTATTGAAACATCATAGCATTTCGTTTCCACATTAGCCACGTTAATGCATTTATTTTTATTTAGCGATTATACTTATTAATCAGAAACAGTTTAAAATTTTCCTTCTAAAACTCACGTTGCGTTCTGATGAAGATCCCTCAAATTTTACCATTTAACTAATTCGCTGTATAAATAAATGTATCTGTATTGAACATTTAGTTCAAATTTTAATTATTCACAGCACTCTAGCACCAGTTTTCTTTTCTAAAATGACTATAATCATTTATTTCTTTACAGATACCCATAATGGACTGCACCGCACATAAGAATCAAACATAAGATGGCCGCCGAAGGCCTTTTCCAAACGAAACAATGGACGAAATACAAAATGAACAGAATCACAGTGAAATTCCGCATCACTATGATAATATTAGCATCTTTGCCTTATAGCTCAGCGGTTAGTCTACCAAATGGGGATCCGGCTCCGGGCAGGTCACCGGGACCGCCTACCGAGGGACCTAGTTATGAAGGCACCGCTAACTTTGGCGTTGAAGAGACTACAGTCAGTGCAACGAGTGTGGATATGGATGACGTTTGTGTGTTCGCTAGAGTGGCCAGTGACAGCGGTGACGTGGTGACGTTGAGTGAAGATGACAGTGACGTGAATTTGACGTTTAGTCATTCGGTGTTCGAAGTGGAGGAGCTAGTGAGAGGCGTCGTTTATGACGGTAAGTTCTCGATTAGCTAATTACATATAGTGCACGTTATTTAGAGGTACCACGAAGGAAGCAGCTCCTACTAGCTAATACTCATGTATTTCTATTCCGAACCACTCTATTCTGTCTTCGAAAGGAAACGGCATATTAATTTGCACGTTATTTATAAATTCATAAAGTGTAATTTCGGAGTTACGTTCCGTAATAATTAATGATTTGAATTCGTCAGGCTTAGGACTGACAGAACAAGGTTAGTAGGAAACGTCAACCATAATGTGAGACGGGTTGTTCATTCCGAAATTCATACAAGCGGCTTATTTACTAGGAAAGTAAAATGTTATGTGTTTAATGCTGTTGGAACTGAGCAAAGGATAAGATTATTGACTCGCTCCGAAGATCTTTGATGCACTTATCGATTTCGACACACTCGAGTGTTTTAAATGCGAACTTATTAAAAATAGTCGCATATTTCCGATAACTGACAGACTGCGTGCCATCTCTGCAACGCTTTTATAGTCAATATGACATCCCTAGAATCGTTCAGAATATTCCTCACAAGTCGAGTACTTTCGATGTGTGTTTACGCTATCTGAAAATAGATGGCGGTGTACTTCTCGAGCGTTCTAGATGCTACTAGATCTTCAATATTCGTTCGGCTATTCGGCGATAGATGTTACTCTTACCGGCGTAACATAACTATGTATATGTATCTGGTACCCATAGAACCGGAATTCCAAGTTTGGGGCCAAAAGACCATGACAAAGCATTTATAATTTAGGTACATTGCTAAAACGCCTCAGGCTACGTGCAAATGTCTTCCATAAATTTAAAAAAGTGATACCACATGCGTAATATCGGTCTGGGTACCAGTCGCGTGAGAGACACGTATAAAGCTGCGTCCACACTATGAAAGCTCTCATTAAATTTTGCTTTGATACATTCATTTCATTCAATAACAAGGGGGCCAAAGCGACAAAACTGTTCAACCTATGTGTCAATTGCGTTAGGCGTGTCGGTCCTCATGTCATTGTGTTCACGATGAATAACCGGAAATTGAATACAAAAAGATTGGTTTGCTACCTTGAGAATATATTTTGCGTGGTTTTATGTCTGACGGTGTGCGTGGCATGGCTTAAACAATAAAAGATACCATTTCATTTATTAAGAAACTCCTGTAATTCCACATTTAAATTTAAAAAGATATTTTGCACGCGTGTCAAATACTACAAAGCGCGTAAAAGGTGACAGTTTGAATATAGCCTAATAGGTACAGCTGAGCCACCAGCGAGTGTAATTACACAAAAAAGTAACTTAAAAAACCTCAAATCTACTTACATATATTCACTTTTAAAGTGCTTAGGGAAATGTGCGCGGCATAATATTTACAATTTGTGTAAACTTATTCTGCGGAGGACGCAGCGAGCGACGCGGCGACGGAGAGAAACTTTCCGAACAAAGAAATTGTGTTTTAAAGCGCTGTTTAAATCGTTCATAGATATCTATATTAATATTATAAAGCTGAAGAGTTTGTTTGTTTGAACGCGCTAATCTCAGGAACTACTAGTCCGATTAAAAAAATTCTTTCAATGTCAGATAGCTCATTTATTGAGGAAGGCTATATAACATCACGCTAAGACCAATGCAAGCGGAGCACCAATAAAGCATGTTTCAAAATCGGGATATTTTTCCCTTTTGAGAGGTTTCGCTGCGTGCGCTGCGGAAACGGTTAAAGTTACGCTAAAATAATGTATGAAAAAATTGTTCCCCTTTAAAAGTTTAAAAAAAGTCAATGTTAATAAAAAAGTTATGCTAAAGTAACTATTCGACGCGGATGAAGTCGCAGACAAAAGCTAGCTTCTCATATATTAAAGTTAATGCGAAGTCTTGAATTTTGTGAAACCGATGTTGTAATTCGTTACAAAGATAGATTAAGCTAATAAAACAATGCTCAAAACTGACGCAATATCACCACGTCCACAATACTCATTTGTATACACAGTGAATACCTTTGTTGACCGGGTGAAATTCTAAGCACGACAAATATTCGCTTTACAATTTATTTGTGCCCTGAAATGGTATGCAACACTGTCGACAACAAACAACAAAATAATAATATGTTAAGGGATTAGAAGTTGTGCATTAAATTAATAAATTACTGGTATTATTCTTAGAAACAATCTATGTAAGCTGATATGAAGCTGTATCAGATTGTGTATTGTGAACGATTGAGATATTGGTGAAATCGTTTTTTTTTCTTCGTCCTTTGTTTGGCCAACACCCTGTACTCAACTACAATCCAAGCAAGCCTTACCGATGTTTATTTTTACCAGATACTTACGGGTGTGGACCCAGAATACCCTAACACCAATACAAAAATAAGAGCATGGGCAGATTTAATTTAGAAATACGACGAGAATCTAGAAGAGGATACTGCTGATGCACATACGAGTTTAGAGAAATTCGACAATAATCACTGTCATCTTAAGATTTTAATTTAATTAACTTGAATTTTCTCTTCCATTTAGCTGTTGATATTTTTCTTAAAAGTGACTAATTCAATCAATTTCGTTTTTAATTGAGAGTAACGAAACTTCTCGATAATTACCAGACAGTAAAAAAGAAACTCAATTGACAAGCAGAGCAAGTAGAGGAAAAAACGACAACTATTTTGATATTTTTTGTTCATATATATATAATTTTTTTTTATTGCCTTTATAGGCAGATGAGCTTATGGCCGACCTGATGGTGAGTGGTTACCGTTGGTCATGGACTTCAGCAATTCCAGGGGCAGAGCCAAGCCGCTGCCTACCTAAATAAACATAAAGTTCAATTAACAATTAAAATATACACATTTCCTACCTAATTACCTACACATTTTTATCGAACTTCATTTCTAAGCGACCAAGCTAAAGACTGGATTAAACGAGATGTGAACTATAAATATTACTGTTGACTTCCTCAAAAGTTAATATTGAATGAACACTAAAATCGCAAGGCAAACCATTAAATATTCAGCGTAAAGCGTCCTGTTTACCAACAGCTTTTGTATTTGGAAGTAATTATCCTCGAGGGCACATCAGCCTTGTACAATAGTCCTGTTTTGATCTAAAATTAACGGACCAACAATGCTTCCTCTCTGAATAGGTTAAATAAATGACTATGCCTTACGTAATGTTCTGGTCATTTACTAGGAGACTGTAAAATTTTAATTGCTTAACGTGTTTGGGATGGTATGGACATGCGATGAGACGAAATGAAAATGAGGTTGGTAAGAGAGTGTTAATTATGAATGTGGAAGGATGTAGAGGAAGAAGTAGACCTAAGAAGAAATGGACGGATTGCGTGAAAGACGATATGGGTAAGAGGGGAATAAGCGAAGAAATGGTATATGATAGTAGAGTATGGAAGGAGAAAACGTGTTGCGCCGATCCCAGGTGACTGGAAGAAGGGTAGGAGATTGATGATGTGAAATTTTAATTACTGAAAAATTTAATAGTGGAAACAGTGAATTTCGTTCAGCCCTTTTGATAATTGAATATTGTTTTTTTATTCTTTTGAACTTTCCTAAGTAGCGTGGCTGTGTGATGTCGGTGTACTCGCACGGTTTTTATAAAAGGTGATTAGGGCATTCATTGGTGCATTAGGGCAGCGGAGATGAAAACAAACTTCCTAATCTAGTCCGAAGTAAAATGCTATGTCCAAGACAGATCGCGCTGGAGAAATACTGTTAAAGTCCTCTGGTCTAGGACTAGGATTCTAAACAAACAAACTGGGCATTTATCAGAAAAAGGGCCGGAGGTTTTCACGGATTATACAAGCAATACGGGAGCGGCAACCGGCATTTAGTTGTATGGCGTACTCTAAGTCCGCACGGTTAGGTAACACCAGCAATAAATAATTTTGCGTACATTTTACCGACGATAGCGTCGATTCTAATCTCATTTAGGTATCATTAGCTCGAAATTTCAACTGTACTACCATCAATTAGCTTACTCTTCGAATTCAAATCCATGACTGCTTTGCGGAAGTAATAGAGCGAGTATTGGCACCTACGCTTGCGATATAGGATATATTAGTGCGGATAAGTCTGAAACTCTACATAATTCGGATCTCACTATAAATTTACTGACGACGATACGATCTGCTAATTTCGAATTTATTGGATTCCGATCAATCATTATCGTCTGACGGGGTAGCCCTTTGATCGAAATGTTGTTTTCTTAGCGGCCCTCGGCAAAGTAAAATTGTTTGTTACAAACTAGATTAGTGTTGCATTGTTAGATTTCGGACTCGGCCGTGGCTTCAGTTTTAATGAATATAATTGAAAGATGGACCATATCGAAACTTATGAGCAGAGGATCTTAGGTTACTGGGAAACTTGTTTTCTTGAGTAACAATCATAACTCACCATTTACTAATTCTTTCGTATTAACAAAAAAGTCCGAGATGCGTGATATATTTATTTCCGTTAATAACATGGAATACTGAGAAAAATATGACTTTTAGGGAGAACCCTTGTTTCCTGAGCACTTTGACAACCACTCAAACGAGATACAAAGAGAGTCCTTCACGGTAGATAGAAACTTGGCTATGCCCCTGTCAATAATAATGTCCGGTGACCAATTAACAACAGACACACCATGATTCTTTTAGTATTATTTCTTATCTTGCCACCATCACAACATTAGCCCTCAGAGCGGAGCTCATCTTTATTTTTAGAATTACAACGTTAATCTAAAATATTTTTTGAGATTCTACATCTCATCTTTGCCACGTATCGTTGATGCTGACAATATTTCCGTACTGTCATGAATGCTTTTAACGATTTTTTCTTAAAATGATTCTCTTTATAAAATAAAAAAATCAAAAACGCGACTCTACTGTCGAGATTATTCCCTCCCCGCACTAGAGTCTTCAAGTTAGATGCCGTCTGAAGACTATGACAAATGACAGAGTGACGCACATTACGTTTTCATCTCTTCTCGTACTGATTTATTTGCCAAAAAATATTT